AGCATTATTGTGTTCCAGCGCATAGGACTTTATTTATTTATTTTATTTTAAGTATAAGGTACATACATCAACAATAGTATATACGAGCCCTGTACCACACCTACGGTGGGGTCGGGCTCGACCTGCGGCGCGTAATCGGGTTCAGTTTACGGGGTGTGCTCATGCTCTTCGGTGGCACAGCAGTTAGTACTATGGGCGCTTGATGAAAAGGTCGGTTTTTGAAGAAATTTTTGACCCCAAATTATCGCATGCCAATTTTCAGCCGGATGGAAGCAAGTTTTTCTTCGGCCGCCATTTTGAAATCGCCATCTTGATTTTTTTAACCCAGGCAGTTGACCAGTTTTACCCTCTAAGACATTCCTTCGAGCACCTCCTACCTATCTCTAATAGTTTCCGTGATAGGAGGCTTTGAAATTTGTATGGCGGCCATCTTGTTTATTTGAATTTCGAACATTTTTTACTTCCCGCAGAAGTTGACCAGGGTGTATCTCATACTTTGCAGGTCGTTGATCACTCTTTCATATTTTCCATATTCAGGTCCTCTCATATTTGATTCTTTGCTTTGGAGCCTATCCGCGTACAACGGTACAAATATTTTTTTTCCACCGTATCGGAAAGTATGCGTTCTATTTTTATCAGTCAGTAAGAACTTGTAGCTTTATATATATAATACTCTTATATAACAGTGTAACTTTACATAAGGATTGTACTTGTACGTCTATCAGTTACAGACGTACAAAAGAACAACAAAGAAATTATGAAATTACTGGGGAAACGATCCGAGAATGTTATTTTTGAAAACAAAACTGGCAGAATGAAAAATATCTATATCCATTCGTACGTTATAATTTGGTTGTAAGTAGAGAATAATCTATAGTGGATTCTGCAGAACTAGGTTAGTCCGGTATCGTGGTACATTAATTATTTTGGTTATTTTATGACGGTGGTGTTTATGAGGTATGTTAATATTTATTTATGGGACTTGTCAACTTATGTCTCAGGGTGATGGGTGCAGTGGCAGTGCCCCTCAGTTATTTGCGATTTAAAGCTCTGAGTGGCACTGCAATTGTTATGGACAGGCATGTAGCTTACCATCAGGCGCACGACTTGTTCATCCCGTCACTTGTTATTATCCGCTCACGCGATACATGCAGCCGTAGACGCATACCACACCTAGAGTGCCGGTGATGATTTTATACCGATTTATCGTATATCGAAGTTATAATAGGTAAAAGAACTAATATTAATTGCTATTTCGGTAACTAGCCTAAAAAAATAAACAACTTCAAAAATACGTCACGACAATCGTGTGTGTTATTGTTTGGGCTAGTGATTTCGGTGTTTATTTATTGAAAACATACCGTAAGTAGCGTTTTTTAAGTTTACCCTGAATATAAATGTTTATAAACTATAGTTTTAAGGAGTAATTTCATGGTAAACGTTAGAACCACTCAAACGGAATATGATCATATTTATCCAAGTACCAAAAATGTCATTAGTGCTTTTTAAGTGCAGGATTTGCGGTGTATTGCTGCATTTTATTTGAGATGTTTTTGTTGGTGGTACGGAGGGTTTTTATTTAGCAATGCAGAATAATAATTTTTATTTATAAAAACTTGTGTTTAAACTGAATGCTTTTCTAATTTGCGAAACCAAATAGCCGCCATTTTGCGGTAGGAGGAGCGCATCGCGTGAGCGGTTAATGTTGAATCAATTTCTTAAAAATTGGATTACAATGAACCGATACAAAAAATCACCAGATTGTGTAAACTTGAATGGATCTTAATAACAATTGAATTGTAATATGCATCCCTACATTCCTATACATAGAGCGCATACGCGGAGAGCTTTAAATCGCAAAGATCTGAAGGACAATGCCGCCACAATCTAACCATCCTCCCAGAGACATAAGTTGACAAGTCTCATGTGCGTGTAATTTGACAAGCCCCCGTACCCTTCAAAACCGAAATACAGTAAGATGGCAGTACTTCCCGGGACGAAGTATTTTGGATGACTGACCTGATTAACATGGCTGACCATGGGACCTGTAAAGGGCCCGAAACGTTGGTTTCTTTTAAAAAACAAATATACGGTGTTTAGACTCGGAAAAATTGTTTCATTTCCGAACTCTAATAAGTAATCCATATAGTCCATTGACTTACAATTATATGGACGTCGGGTCCGCGCTAAAAAGTGTCCGAACTTATAGGGCGTTAAAATCGTATATAGAGCGTCATTCACGCTCTAGTCTTCGTTTGTTCGACTGACAGCGAAGCAAGCAAAATTAGACAGTACTGCGATGACATTACAATTTAAATTCAACGTTTTAGCTTTTTCATATTCCTTTATATGTCACTATGTTTAAATAGGTTGACTTGGGACATTTTTTTCGTGGTTTTTGTATTAGACCCGTCGTCCATTTATTTGTAAGTCAATGATATAGTCTGTCCTTTTTGAAGACGGAGTAAAATTACAGTTCACTATGCAAAAGTGTTGCCCGCTTGCGAGCAGCTAGTGATTGCAGTCGATAAATATTCAATCAACTATCGATTGAATATTGGTCACGCTTATGTAATAAATAACCGAACTTGTTGCATTTGAATCATTCTCGACTCATTATCCATCCAATTAATGAGCACAAGTTCATGTGAATTGTCAATTTTTGTACGTTCATTCGTATGAACATGTACTGTATTTAGAACTATGTTTATAAAAATGTCTGTAAAAATGCAAAGAGGAGACATATTTTAAAGATTTTCATTTTAATTCAATATAGTAGTAGAAACTAGTGGGCCAACTGTCAAAATAAAAACAATGTTATTGCGCAATTAGTGATCATTAGAACGTGTGGCAATTTTTTCTCTTTTTTCACAATCTATCGATAAAACTATCGATAACAACTACATAAATATTTCAAATTTTATGAAAACTAGCAACACTACAAATCTCATTTTACTCGTCTTCAAAAAAAGACACACTTTACATTGGTATTATTATTGATAGAAAGATCGAACAAACACAAAGAAAAAATCCTTCGGGCTTCCAACTGGGCTCGAACTCTCGCAACTCACAGTTCTCAGAAAACGTGTGGGCCCGTAACTAGTAGTGGGACGTGTAAATGGGTTGATGATGATAATGTAAAGCATAGGTTCCCAAACTTCTTAGCTGACCCACTTAGAGAAGATAAAAAAATTTCAACGCCCACAGTTTGAGCCCAAAAAAAGGTATTTTTGGGAAAAGATTGGGAAGCATTTTCCGACCTCCTTTCGCTCCTTTGGCTATGCCCAAAAAGAAGAAAATAGAAACGTCATTGAGATCTTAGAGAATGGAAAAAAGTTCCATAGTCTAAGACTGAGACGGTCATTGCGACGAAAAATTTATACGAAATTTCGAAACCGCTGATGAAAATGTAAAACCGCTTTTCAGTAATTATTTATAATATTCATTCGTCGCATACAAGGAGTTATCTTCTAACCGCCGCCAGTACGCAGCTGCACGGGAGTCAAAGGTGAGTGTCACTTTGTCGATTTTATGGGTAAATTCTCCAGAACGGAAGGAACAAAGTCCAATGCCTCCTTTTAACATCTGAGCCTCTTCACCCACCACCACAAAAAATAATTGAAAAAAAAAGATACAAAAAAAACGCGCATACACTCATAGCCCGCACTGAGGAGACCCTGTATCGCAGATGCCATGGACACACACACAGACAACCACAATTTACACCCAACCTCACGCAAGAAACGAATGCAGGCCATACAAATATTTCTCCCGGCCCGGGACTCCAACCCGGAACCTCTGCGTGAAAATCCAGCATAGTAACCATTAGGCCACGGAGGCAGTTAAAACATATTTTTTTATATTAACAAAAAATTACCAGGAAATATATATGTAGTGTAGTTTATATAGATAATCCAGGCCATTTTTCAAATACGGTAATACCCCTGGATAGCATCAAGGCCCCTCATTTGCTTCCAAAGCTCCTAATACTCTTTAGGGCCTACTGCCCCCCACTGAGGGGCGGTGGGTACCACTTTGGGAAAATATGATGTAAAGTAACATTTTAAACCGACGTCCGGCATGGAGGTCCCGGGTTTAATTCCCAGGCCGGAATAAATATTTGTATGGCCTACATTTATTTATCTCGTGAGTTTATGTGTAATTTCTGGTTGTTTATGTGCGTATCCATGGCACCCGCGTCACAGGGTTTCTCTAGTGCGGGGTTATGTTAAGTGTGTGCGTTATTATTCTCTCTCCTTCTTCTATCTCCTTTATCTTTGCGACGTGCTGCGTGAAATGCTTGATCTAGTATTCTTATATAAGCTAATTAACAATAAAATTAATAGTCCGCAACTTCTCTCTAAAATACAGTTTAAAATACCCTCTCGTCTACCAAGGTATCACGTAAATCTTTTTCACGCAAAGTATCCTCGGTTCAAATTCTCCGTTTGCTCGATTTGCCAGGCCTGTCAATGCTCTACCTCTTGAAATGGATATCTTCGCAGTCTCATTGCCTCGCTTCAGGAAGTCAATATTGCAGTTTTTGGCATATAAGTGAATATTATTTGTAATGTATATTATATTTATTTTATAATTTAATTTGTTAATACAGTAAACATATGTAATATAAGTACAGTAAAAAAAAAGAACAGTAAATTAATAATACTTGTCTTAACTTTCATATTCTCATCATGGCATGTTCACCTGTAATTGGTTAATCATTTTAACTGTAACACCCTATCGAATGTGTGTAAAATATTGTTGTAACCGAATGTACTAAACGTTGGTGAATTTAAATAAATAAATAAAAATAAATAAATACATTATTAAATGGTTGTTTTTACATACATACATTATTTACCGTAACTTATTTGCTCATCATCATGACCACCATCAGTACAATATTCCTACAGAACTAAATAATTCTCGTAGAATCGTTTCGAGCACAAATGGCAAGTCAGCGCTAACAATGTTCCGTTCAATATATCAACCGGGTACGTGGGCCGGACATGTCGGACCGGATAACCGGCTCAATTTAACAACCTTCCATCGACTGTACTTAGTACGAAGTAAGTACTTTCGACTGTGATATATTATGTAGGAACACGGTTTACTGCTCTGTTAAAATCGTTATAGGTTGTAAATGTCATGGCGCTTAAAATGTATAACTATTTACAGGACAATGGAAATTAACATAAGTAGGTCAGATGGGGAGCTTCTTATATTTTATGTTCGTATTAACAAACATATAAGAAGCTCTACTGCTACATATTTTTGTAGCAGTAGCGCTCCTTGTAAACATCTAATTCGAGTGTACATTTGGAGTATTGCACTCTATGGATGTGAATCATGAACACTGACACAAAGAGATAGGGAAAGATTAGAACCTTTTGAGATATGGTGCTGGAGGAGGATAAAGGGCATAAGTTGGATAGAAAAGAAAAAAAAACCAATGAGAGAGTATTTAGAATGGTAAACGAGAAACGAACCATCCTGAATGCTATAGAGTATAGATAGACGCGGGAAAATTATTGGACATTTGATACGACACGACAACTTCTCTAAGACCATTTTGGAGGGAAAGATCTAGGGGAAGAGGGGAAGAGGTCAACATATACTCTAGCCAAATTCGATGTAGAATGTTTAACAACAAAACGTTGCTAGGCAACCAATGATGGCATAGGAAAACATTTTTTTCAATGCTCATTATTAAGGCTTGCTCTGCCCACGACCTGCTCCCTTAATTTGAATTTAAATAGGTAAGTAGGTAATTGGATTATGTACAAGTAATACTTACGTAGCAAATTATTATAAAGTTTACAAAATACCTATTGATACGTATGATTTAGGAATAAAAATAAGTTTTTGCGTCCTATTAATATTTATTGCTATATGGTAGGTAATGGTAGTTGAAAAGAAGCAAAATTGTAAGATTTTATTTGATATTAATTTACTACATATTATATCATCTAGCATCTATTTCCGATTTTGAACCTGAATTACCACCAGAATTGGAATATTTGCAATCTCTACCTTCAAAACAAAACGTTACTAAGGATGACACAGTTTTACAAATAATTAATTACTGGTCATGTTTATATCATTTTTAGGTGATTTGAAACTTCTGTTGAAGAATATTCGTTATAAACATGGCTACAAGATTTAGTATTATCCATAATCTAGTCGAATTTCGTAGAAAAATTTTGAAATTTTGGTAACTATGAAAGAGCGTGAGATGAAAACCTTAAAACTCATATGTTTTTGTTAGTTGATATTTATTCTACATCGAAATTGGCTAGACTAAATAAAGGAAAAGGCCGGAGTCGTGTCGTATAAGAAGGTCAAGGAGCTGGCTTATAAGAGAGATGACTGGAAGATGCTCCACCGACTAGACTCTTAAGTTTGGTAATGATGGGCGCTCCTTGTGAAAGAGTTCGTCCAGGGAAGTGCTGTCACCTTATCTGTTTCTGCCGTCAAGCAGTAGTATGAGCATCATTGCGTTCCGGTTTTGAAGAGTGCTGGTGGAAGTACAGGCACGTGGGAATTATCAACTTATGTCTCAGTGTGACGGGCGTAGTCAGTCCTGGATTTATAAATAGGCCGTATAGGCCGCGGCCTAGGGGCGGCAGATTTCAGTGGAGACAAAAGTCAAACATGTTCACTGGCTTTCTCACGGTTTTTTATACCTTAAATAAATCCCTATATTTCTATAGGGATTTACAGACTTTAGGGGCGGCCAATCGTGACAAAAAATTCACTGATGATTACAAGAAATAACTCCAAGTACCTAAATATTTAAAGGCTCACGCACGTTATGGCGGGCCGCACTGCACCGCATCGTATAACAATCTGCCGTCCACTAACCGTCAAATAACCGTTTTGAATAGCAAGAAATAGATAACAATGAAAATTAGTTAACGTGTTTGACTGATCGGAACTTACCCTAACGATGCAAAGCTGAAATATCATTAAACATTTTGTTTGTTGAATATTCTGAAAACGGGGTTATGGTTTTTATGATATCTCAAAAAACTATTTTGTCACTTAGCCGCGTCTTGGTTAGCGGACAGCAGCCATAATGTTCCTTAATCACTTTCGTACATTTTATTTATAAAATATAAATATGTCTACCAGTAGGTATATGAGTGCTGAGAAAGGGGCGGCTGGTACTGACTACATGGCCTGGGGCCTAGGGCGGCCAAGACTGCAAATCCGCTACTGGGCGTAGTGCAGTGCCCCTCAGATCTTTGCGATTTACAGCTATCAGTGGCACTGCAACTGTTATGGATAGGTTTATTGCATACCACCAGGCGCATGACTTGTTCGCCTCGTCACTTGCTTATCATAAAATATAACGGCGCGTTATGAGAATAGTTAATTACCGATTATCAAGGTATCGAGTACTTAGTTCATTTGCGAAATCAATTACTGTAGTTTATATTTAGTCAGTTTATCGGCGGCATTGACTTACAATTATATGGACGTCGGGTCCGCGCTAAAAAGTGTCCGAACTTATAGGGCGTTAAAATCGTATACAGAGCGTTTATTCACGCTTTAGTCTTCGTTTGTTCGACTGACAGCGAAGCAAGCAAAATTAGACGGCACTGCGATGACATTACAATTTTAGCTTTTCCATATTCCTTTACATGTCACTAAGTTTAAATAGGTTGACTTGGGACATTTTTTTCGTGGTTTTTGTATTCGACCCGTCGTCCATTTATTTGTAAATCAATGATCGGCGGGGAAGAAGTTTGTCAGAGTGTACTTACAAATCCATTGGCTCTAAATTTAACTATTTTGATGTTATAATTCACAGCGGGGCTTAACGAATTCATAACGAAGAACGTATAGATAAATTATCAAATAATTCCCGAGACAATTAGTGACGAGGAAGTTTGCGTCCACGTTTTCCCTTTCACTTCGGCATATATATAATTTCAAATTCGAGTATACACCAAAATTGCATATTCCGGAAGGTTATATAAAATGTCATTTCTCAACGATTTGCAGAAGTGCATCATTACATAAGAACCGTCTTTTCAACTGTAGACGTAATGTTGAAACCACTAATTCACCTGATATTTTAAAATGGTTCTAATATTTCAGAAACGTAGGCTCAATAACTCACGGAAGTTTCATCGCAATCGGATGAATAATAAAAGAATGAAAACCGGACCAACATGCAAACAAATATTCATTATTATATACATACACACGTGAACACATTTGGAGAAATGCTAATTAGGTTGAATTATGATAACAATGTTCATAATGAACCACTGGGCACATAAACCAGAACGTTTAATTTAAAAAAGAACGACTTCATTCTTTTCATTTCAATTAAACGTTCCCCCGTAGTATGCTGCCTCGATAAAGCTATTATATCCGCTGTCAAATTCGAGTGGCATTTTAAAATTTTATCACAATAGCGAACATGGTGAGCACCGTGACGTCACATTGCATGGCTGCAAGGTCCCAGCTGATTTTAAAACATTTGCACAGTAATTTTATCAACGTGACAATTGAGCGCGACAAACGAGATGAAAAGACATTTTTTGTTTCAAGATTTTCGCGACCATGATATACGCAATTTTATATCGTTGTTCTTCAAAATGTATAACAATAGTTCATTACCAAATAAGCAAACTTAGATTTAACTGAACTAAATATTGTCACGGGGAGGTTCGATGTCACTCTTTTTTAAAATAAAACGTTATGGTATATGTAATCAGTAGTTCATGTGAACTTTGTAACTTTTTTTAGAGTTCCATAAATAATATATCCATGAGTGTAGGTTAAAATAAGATTTAATAACATATTATTTAACAATTAGTCATCATCATAATCATTACTTCAGGACGTCTTCTGGCAGTCATCCAGATTCATCCAGACATCTATCGGTTACCCGCCGCCCTTACCAGGTCATCCGTCTATCTAGTAGGTGGCCGTCACACTGAACGCCTTCCGGTTCGCGGTCTCCATTCAAGAACCTTTCCGCCCCAACGGCCGTCGGTTCTACGAGCTATGTGCTCTGCCCACTGCCACTTCTACTTACTAACCCCTTGAAGTATGTCGGTGACTTTCGTTCTTCTAACGGATCTCCTCATTTCTGATTCGACCTCGTCGAGAACTTGAAGTGACTTTGAACTTTTTTATGAGGTCCATAGTAAGTGACCACGTCTCAGAGCCGAACGTCATCCCTGGCTACACGCACTGCTCGAAAACTTTTGTCTTCAAGGACTGCGGTATTGCGAACGAGAATACGTCCCGGAGGTTCCCGAAAGCTGCCCAACCGAGTCGGATTCAACGACTGACCTCTTCCTCGAAGTTGGCTCTGCCTAATTGGACGACTTGTCCGAGGTAGATATATAACAATTAGTAGTTATGATAAATATTTGAATAATACCCATTTTCGCATAGCAACTGCGATAGAATTAATTGGACATAGTTTATTTGACGACTTCCGTCCTCGAGTGGCTTGCATACCGGTTTTCATGGACACGCCATCTAAAAGTCCCAATTGCGATCCTCAGCCGAATGAATGTAGAAAAACTTACTTTTTATATTGTCCCGGGTCTGGTGTTTGTGGTACCACCGTTGTTTCCGACTTCCATAACACAAGTGCTTAGTTACTTACTTTGGGAAGGAGCAACGTTTGTAATGTTGTTTAAATATATGTACATGATAAATATTTTAAATAAGACCTTGCTGGGTCATTCTCAGGCTAGTTTTCTCTATCTAATTTCGGCGATAATTTTTATTGTTTAAGTATTCTAGAAAATTATTTTCAAGTATTATTTAATATTCGATTATAGCGTCCTGATCTTTAATATTTCAGGATAAATTTAAACATTAAACTATTAAAAACGATCCTACTATACCTTATGTCGATAGATAAATCAATTGACTGATTGGTTTAGTCTTTTTCCTTCCGTATTTTGCTTTTTCTGCACAATAAAGGGTTACAAAAACAACCCTTTCATTCCTTTTAAACACCATTGGCTGATTAATTTGCAGCCCTTTTTGGTGCTAATGGCTTATACAGCGTTATTGCTGACATCATGGCATC